TGAAGTTCAATCATGTTCTCTGAAATGTACTATTTTATTATGTATCTCTTTACAGTAAGCCATTGTTTCTTAGAATTAAGTTAATTTTTGGTTGAATTAAATGACTTCAGGCAAGTCTCTTTCACAACAGTTTTTTAAATGCCACTTATCATGGCTTGTTATGTTGTGTGTTTGTAAGTATGAAAACTTGGCAAATGAATAGAAGTAGAAAATAATGACACTACTTACTAGTGAAGGTGAGATGATTAGATTAGAAGTGTATATGAAATGTTTGTCAGGCCTGACTGGGTACAATTTTTTACACTTGCAGTGTGCTTTGTGTGTATGTATACATATTTCCGATAATAAGATTTTGCAACTGGATGACACATGATTTTACTTGAACAATAGAGGACAAAATCACGATTGCAGGAGACATTTTTATTATCTGGGTGTTGTTTTTTCAGAGATCACCCTTAATCTTATAATGATCTAAAAAAGTGAATATAATTGCTAAAATTTTCTTGGTTTAATGTAAAGAAACAACTTTTTTGTACTGTACTTTCTGCACAGGATTGTAAAGATATTCTAATCAACTTTGTATCTTGCATGATGTAGTAAACCTTTTAAAAATGTGTGTTAAAATGTGTTGAGTTTGGATTAAAATGTTGACCAGATTTCAATCTGAAGATAAACTCATCTCTTATTAGGAAGTTACCTATCAGTAACATGACAAGTGTGGCAGGTGGATTAATCAGCCAAAGTCTGACTAGATAAAGGATGTTGTGTGCTAACAATATGATTTGTGGTATAAAAACAAGTAATTAGAAGTATCTTTGGCCGCATTCCTGTTGTTAACAAAATGAGGTACTCCTGGAAACTCTGACATCTTACTATCTTTTTTTACAGATGCATTTAGTACTTGGGATTATAAGGACTGTGTTTACTTCTACTTCAACTAGAGGCCCGGTGCATGAAATTCGTGCACTAGGGGAGGAGGGGGTTCCCTCAGCCAGCCTGCGCCCTCTCACAGGCCAGGTGCCCTTGGGGAATGTCCTACTGATGGCTTAGGCCCACTCCCTATCTCCACCACCGCTGCTGCACTCGCTAGCCATGAGCCCGGCTTCTGGCTGAGAGGCCCTCTCCCTGTGGCAGCTCCTGCATTGAGCATCAGCCCCCTGGTGGTCACTGCATGTTATAGCGACTGGTTGTTCTGCCGTCAGGCCGAAACTGGCTCTCTGACATTCCCCAAGGGGTCCCAGATTGTAAGAGAACACAGGTCAGGCTGAGGAACACGATCGGGCTGGAGAGGGATGTGGGAGGTTGGCCAGCCAGGGAGGGACCGCAGGAGGGCTCCTGGGCATGTCTGGCTTATGTTGCTCAGTCCCAATCAGCCAGACTCCAGCAGCAAGCTAACCTACCAGTTGGAGCATCTGCCCACTGCTGGTCAGTGCATGTCATAGTGACTGGTTAACCAGTTGACTGCCCCCTGGTGGTCAGTGCACATCATAGAGTAGTTGAGCAGCCTTAGTATATCATTAGCATATTACATAGTGATTGGTTGAACGGCCAAGTGAACAACAACTTAGCATATTAGGCTTTTATTATATAGGACTAGAGGCCTAGTGCACAAAATTTGTGCATGGGGTGGTGGTGGGGTCCCTCAGCCCAGCCTGCACCCTCTCCAATCTGGGACAACCTTGAGGGATATCCGTTTATCCACCAGGATCAGGTCTAAACAGGCAGTCGGATATCCTTCTCACAATCCAGGACTGCTGGCTCCCAACTGCTTGCCTGCCTGCCTGCCTTCCTGATTGCCCCTAACCGCTTCTGCCTGCCAGCCTGATCACCCCCTAACCACTCCCCTGCCAGCCTGATTGATGTCTAACTGCTCCCCTGCCCACCTGTTTGCCCCCAACTCCCCTCCTCTGCCGGCCTGGTCACCCCTAACTGCCCTCCACTGCAGGGTTGATTGCCTGCAACTGCCTTCCCTTGCAGACTTAGTCCCTCTCAACTGCCTTCCCTTGAAAGCCTGGTCCCTCCCAACTTCCCTCCCCTGCTGGCCATCTTATGGTGGCCATCTGTGTCCACATTGGGGTAGGATCTTTGACCACATGGGGGCAGCCATCTTTGTGTTGGAGTGATGGTCAATTTGCATATTACTATTTTATTAGATAGGATAGAGGCCTAGTGCATGGGTGGGGGCCAGCTGGTTTTCCCTGAAGAGTGTCCCGGATCAGGGTGGGGGTTCCCTTGGGGCATGCGGCGGCCTGGGCGAGGGGCCTGTGGTGGTTTGCAGGCCAGCAACCCAAGTGGAGGCCCTGGTATTGTTATGCCCAGATTTGAAGATCCCCAAGGACCACCAGGGAGCCGAGTCTGATGCAAAAAACAAGAGCCTTTATTCAAACTCAAGTCTGGTCTCCCTGCCTCTACAGATGCAGCGGCAGAATCCAAGGAGCCCTGAGCTCTGAAAGTGTGGTCTTTTTATAGGTTTTAGGGTTGGGTGGTGGGGTGATGCTCGGACCACTGAGTTGGCTGGTTCTGATGGGTGGGGTGAGGGCCAGGGTCCAGTTACGCTGGGTTACTTCCCTCTGTATTTCTATTGGCTGCTTTAAGGGTAGGTTGGGTAATTGATACATTTTGTGGTCTTTCTCAGAAAGGGGTTATGTCAGAGACATAGTTATACAAGACAGTTACACAATATAAAACGGAGTCAGTCCTGCTCTGCCCTTGAAAGAAGGCCTACGTGCTGGGAAGGGGCCATGAGGCGGTATCTCAAAGCCTGGACTGTGAAAAACAAGATATTTGTTAATGCTTGAAACCCTCCAGAATTACATTAAAAAGTATCAGAGCTGGAATCCAGAAATCCTTGTACCACAGTTTATTTAACCATTTTCTATTATTTGTCCATTCGGGTTTTTTTCTTATTTGTTTCTAAAACTGATGCTGTAGTTGCCCTAGCCAGTTTGGCTCAGTGGATAGAGTGTTGGCCCATGGACTGAAGGGTCCCAGTTTTGATTCTGGTCAAGACCATGTACCTCAGTTGCAAGCTCTTCCCCAGCCAGGCCCTGGTCAGTGCTTCTGCAGGAGGCAACCAATCAATGTGTTTCTCTCAGTATTTATTTCCCTCTCTCTTTCACTCTCTCTAAAAAAAAAAAAAAAAAAAAAAAAAAAAAAAAAAAAAAATCAATGGGAAAATATCCTCAGGTGAGGATTAAACACACACACGTCCCACAAAAACAAAACAAAACAAAACAGAAAAACAAAAACTGGTGCTGTAGTAATAATATGAATCCTTATATGTTAATATTGTTTTCTATAGGATAGTCATAAAATGGGACCACTGGATCAGGGGTGCTGAAAATAATACATATTTTAAATTATAAAGATGTGGTCATATTAGTTGGCAAAAGAGTTTAGCAATTCACATTCCCACCAACCATACATCTGTCCAGTTTCCCAGGATTCTTGACAATAATTGCTGTTTTTAATTTTTGCCAATCTGATTGGTGGGGAAAGATGGCATGTTATTTTTAATTTTTTTAAAATATATTTTATTGATTTCTTACAGAGAGGAAGAGAGAGGGATGGAGAGTTAGAAACATCGATGAGAGAGAGTCATCGATCAGGTGCCTCTTGCACACCCCTTACTGGGGATATGCCCGCAACCAAGGTACATGGCCTTGACCGGAATCGAACCTGGGACCTTTCAGTCCACAGGCTGACGCTCTATTCACTGAGCCAAACCAGTTTTGGCAGCATGCTATTTTTTTAATTCACATTTTCAAATAGCTAGGTTGAACATCATGGTTGCACATGTGAGTTGCCTATTCTTAGCCATTGACCAATTTTATTAGGATTGTATTTTTTATCATTTCTAGAAGCAGATTAAATAGAAGTATTAATGTTCTACTGTACTGTAAAATGAATTTTTCTAGACTCTTATTTGACTAGAGGTGCCTTTTACCATTCAAAATGTTTAGGCCTGGCTGACATGGTTCAATGGTTGAACCCTGACCTATGAAGCAGGAGGTCCTAGGTTTGATTCCAGTCAAGGGCACATGCCAGGAGTTGTGGGCTCTATCCCCAGTGGAAGTGGGGGAGGAGGGTGCAGGAGGCAACTGATCAATGATCCTCTCTCATCATTGATATTTCTATGCCTTTCTCCTCCTTCCATCTCTGAAATCAATAAAAATACATTAAAAGGTTTAAATCTGCATATAGTCAAACATTTTTATTCTTTATGATTTGGGAATTTCAAGTTTTAAGATTAAGTCCTTTCTATCCCCAGACTATAAAATATTCTCCTAAAAGTACTTATTTCTTCTGTTGAGATTTCTTTAAATCCTCACCTGAAAACCTGTTTTTATTGACTTTTAGAAAGGAAGACATAGAGAGTTGTGTTTGTTTGTTTTTTAATCTACTGAGATTTATTTTTGCATATAACGTGAGGCAAGGGTCAGAATGACTCAGTGGTCAGGCAGAGGAAGAGCAAGAACAAAACCAAATTTAGAAGGGGCTGAGGAGCAATGAATGTTCTGTTCTATTCCTCAAACAATAGGTTTAAGGTCATATCGTGGAAGCCTTTCCAGTACAGGTTAAAACTGTCAGGGGGTTGGAGGTGGAGGAGATATGGGGAGGGTAAACGGTGATGGAAAAAAAAATAAAGTTAAAAAATAAAAATGCAAAAAACACTCACAAAAAAAAAACCAAAACCTCGAGGGTGAGAGCGACTTGTAATGCATCAAGCTTAGCTTTGAGGCCTAAGGTCGATGAGACAGAGGGTTTCCAGACCGTGGGAGGGTTCCTCTCTGCTTCCAGCCCTGCAATGGCTACCTGCCCTCTAAGGAGGCTCCGGACAGTCCCCAGAGGAGAACTCACAGCCCCAAAGCGAAAGCAGGCTAGAGTGACTTCGCCTTGCGCATGCGCGCTTCGGAATGCTGCGCGTCTTCCGGGCGCTCTTCCGCCAATCCCCGTCTTCCAGCCGTGGCGCATGCGCAGCCTCGCTTCCTCTGCACCCGGCGGCGTCTCCGTAAGTCAGCGCGGGGCGCGGGGGCCGCTGGGAAGATGGCTGCCGTGGGCATGGCGGCCGCGGCGGCCAAGGGTGCTTGTCGGAGGTGGAGCTGGACGGCCGTCTCCTGCGGCTTCCACCGTGGCCTCTGCACGTTACTCGTTCGGAACCCCGAGAAGGCGCCTCGGTGGCTCCCAGGTCAGTGCCCGAAAGACGGGAATGGAGAGCGTTCTTTCGAACACCACCCCGGTTCCATCCGTTCCTTTGTGGGCGTTTTTGGCGCCCCGTTCAAAAATGCTCTGGTCCCATTGGGTACCCCAGGGCGATCTCCACAGTCCCGGCGGAGGATCTGCGGAGGGCGGCGCGGCGGCCCGGGGTGTCTCGGACCGCCCGGCCCCTGCTGGCGGTTTGCGCTCCTGAAGGATCCCGATCTCTGCCTGCCTTCCCTGCTTGGCGCCGAAGGGAACATTAACGTGCATTTAATGCGATGATTGTTAGTTTATTTTTATTTTTTCTCTTTTCTCTGCGGGTTGTGAGATCGTCACTCTGTGAAGGTGCTGAGACGCGCCCTCCTTGGACTTGAGGGGATTTACCGTGGGAACAGGCTCTTTGTGAAAGTGTATACAGGTCGAGCCTTATTTCTGGTTTTGTCTTCTCGATGCTCCCGCTCAGTGAAAACCGTAACCATTCCTTGATAAAGGACACTGTAATTTTAAACCAAAAAGTCAGAGCACTTTAATATTTTCTTTCATCTTGTGCTTGGTTCCTCCCTCTTCCTATTCCAGCCCCACCCTCCCGGGTATAGGGTGTCTCCTCCAAACATGTCTATACACTTAACAGCTGAGCCCCATTGATGTTTGTTTCTTTTTAGATTTAACCCATTGGAGTTAGTAGTTACTCAAGGTGTATATACAATTTTGGGGGACATCTACATATAGTCTGTCTTTCTAAAGTTTGACTTTTTACCTTTTGGTTTGGTTTCGTCCACACCTCGGGCACTCAGATGCATGATTGTTTGGAATGGGAATTGTCATTGCAGATATTCTTTGTTTTGAGTTAAAAATTGTAAATATTTATAATCAGTTGAACTTGCATTTAAGTGTACACAATCAAAAGACGTGTTATATGTTTCTCTAGGGTAGTATGTCATTTCATTAACAAGGTAAATTTCATTAAAGAAGTTTCAGTTCATCTATTGAGCACTTCAGCACCAGGCTTTGAACTAATTCTTATTGTACAAACATCCTTTATGGATATAATGTTAACCTATCCACTTAAAACTTACCAAGGTTAAATAACTGGTTGCCTCACGGAGACGTTCTTGTGTTGGGAAGTGATAGTAAGAGGGTAGGAAGGATTTTTGAGTGGTGAACCAGGGAAATGGGAAATGAACATTTCTGCTTATACAATCTGCCAACCAATGTAACTGGCTCCTGCTAGCCCTGTTTTTCACTGAACGTTTTAAATTTGGAATACTTCACTATACATTGAAACTTTGAAACAAGCAAATAATTTTTTTAAATCAGCTTCTTAAATTCAGAGTGATGTTAACTTTATCAGCTCCCATAGAAGAGACTGAGAAATTTTTGTTAACCGCAATAAAGGAGAGGAAGATTGGACCTTGCTCAAAGAAGGTACTGATTTTGAAATGAAGATATGCACAGACTTGTCATAGAATATGCACAGATTCATAGAATATGTCAAATTTTTTTTGTGTTTTTTATTAAGTGGAAATAGTATTTGACATCAGTTTGACAAGTTAAGAAAGTTAAGATTGCGAAAAATATATATATATATATATATATATTTGGTTTTCCAAAAACTGTATTTGCAAACTATGGTTTATGTTTTGTGTACTTTGTTTAGCTTGCAGACGAAAGTCATCAGTCTCTTTCCTTAGTCGACCAGACCTTCCAAAACTGGCTTATAAGAAACTAAAAGGCAAAAGTCCAGGAATTATCTTCCTCCCTGGCTTTATTTCTAATATGATGGGTACAAAAGCATTGGCGATTGAGGAGTTTTGCAAATCTCTAGGTCACGCCTATATAAGGTAGGAACAACACATTTCAGAGAAAATATTACTACCATTTAGCATGGCAGTGGAGAATTACTTCTGCTCTAACCAATTGAAGCAAGTGCCAGAATTTTTATATGTTAATTTATTTCAATGGTTGTAAACTTTCTTGTGACTTAGGGTGCTTGTAAATGCAACCTTTAATAAGACCTTTTTAAAAAGTTTTTGTGCCACATTGACTGCTGGCAGGAAAGGAAACTAATGATAACTAAGCTCTTTAGATACAATAACCTAATATGACAACAAACCAATATACTATTGTTGGCTTTATTATGATTATATTGTAGTTTTCCATTTGGGGCTTAAGGGCTTTTACTTATCACTATTACCTTTTTAAAAATATGTATTTAAAAATATATATGCATTTTAAAGTACAGTAAGTCATTAGTTAATGTCATTGATAAGTTCTGCAACTTTAAGTGAAATGACATATAAACAAGCCAATTTTACCATAGACTAATGGATATAAATAAGAGTTAAATGGCTATGACACCTCATCAACATTGTAATAGAATAGCCTTGAATAAAACGTTGGAAGGCTCCTGAATTATAAAATTAGTATTGTATTATTTACATTGCCTCTAAGTTTTCTTTCTCCTCACTGCTGTAATTTCAGTGTGTATAAGAATAAATAGGGATAGATGGTGTTTAACTAAAACTTGATTTCACAATTTGTAATATTTTATGCTGATAATTATTTTAGTAAAATAACATGTTTATGTTGCTGTTGTTAGGTTTGTTTACCTGTAACAATTATTTATTTAGTGCCTAATTTACCAGAAGAGATAGTAATGGTTTAATAGAAAGAGCACTGGCCTGGAATTCAAGAAAAATGGGTCGTAGAATCAATTCTAGCAATAACAATGACAGATAAATAAGTTTATAAACACGGCCTATTTTCATCTAAAAAAATGAGGTTTGATTAAGGTAATTTCTGAATTATTTTCAGAACAGCCTAGAAAAAAAGGTAGTCCTACTAACATTTGCAATACAGCTTTTAGGAATAAAGTAATAAGAAACTTTTAGACTTTATCTGTTTAATATAATAGTAGAAATTATATCAATTAAATGCATTTAGTCTTAGTTCTTTTAAAAATATATATATATTTTATTGATTTCCACAGAGAGGAAGGAAGAAGGATAGAGAGCTAGAAATATCAATGAGAGAAACATTGACCAGCTGCCTCCTGCACACCCCCTATTGGGAATGTGCCTGCAACCAATGTACATGCCCTTGACCAGAATCGAACCTGGGACCTTTTAGTCCGCAGACTGATGCTCTATCCACTGAGCCAAACCAGTTTCGGCTAGTCTTAGTTCTTTTATCAGATTAAATGAATTGTTTCATATTCATTCTCAGAACTCTTTAAAAAATCTGTTGATTTAACTATTGTTCTGAAGACTGGCATATCTTTTGCAAGTAGACTTTCTAGCACTGTATTAGGTGATGTGAAAATATAAAACTCTAGAGACCTGGTGCACAAATTCATGAACCAGTGGGATCCCTCGGCTTGGCTATGGTATCGGGCTGAAACCGGCTCTCTGACATCTCCTGAGGTGTCCCAGATTGTGAGGGGGTGCAGGCCAAGCCAAGGGACCCCAACAGTGCACGATCAGGGCTGGGGAGGGACATGGGAGGTTGGCCAGATGGGGAAGGTGTGTCCGGCCTTTCTCGCTCAGTCCCGATCAGCCAGACCCCAGCAGCAAGCTAACCTACTGGTTGGAGCATCTGCCCCTAGTTGTCAGTGCACCTCATAGTGACTGGTCAACTGGTTGACTGCCTTCTGGTGGTCAGTGCACGTCACAGTGAGCGGTTGAGTGCCCTTAGTATATCATTAGCATATTATGCTTTGACTGGTTGAATGGAAGACTAGACATAGCATATTAGAGTTTTATTATATAGGGTGGTCATTACCCTTAACAGACCTTTCATAAAGCTGGGAAACAGGAGAAAATACAGATGATTAATTTGGGGGGGGGGAACTCATCAGAAAGTGATAGTGTCAAAAGAGCAGTACCCTTTATTGTATCAAGTAAGAGAAAGAAAATGGGATTGAAGTGGGTAGAAAAGTCTTTATAAAGGAACACTAAAGAATAGTTAAGTTTGGAATAAGAAGGAAGAGCTATCTAGGAAGGGGACTAGCCTCAGCAAAATATCATGATAGCAGAAATATTATCATCATTCTTCCTCTTTGTCCTTAACATATTTTGAATCAAGAAATCTCCTTTTTACCAGTTCTTAAATTTAATTTGAGGCTGGGAAAGCTATCCCGTTTCTATTTCCCTATAAGACATATGTAGGTTTTCTGTATTTTGCATACATGTAAAATACATTTAAAGGTATATTAAGTAATGATAATAAAATAAGATGTTTGTAGACAATATATTAAGTGGTATGGTGTTAAGTTGCAGTCTATGTATCCTATGTAATAAAAACCTAATGTGCTAAGTGTCCAGTTGTCCAATCATCCTTTCAACCAATCGAAGCTTAATATGCTAATGATATGCCAAAGCCACTCAATTACTCACTATGACATGCACTGATCATTAGGGAGCAGTCGACCGACCAGTTGCTATGACATGCACTGACCACAGGGTACAGGCACTCAAACCGGTAGGTTAGCTTCCTGCTAGGGTTCAGCCGATTGGGACTGAGTGAGATGGGCTAGACATGCCCTGGAGCCCTCCCATGATCTCTCCTCAGCTGGCCAACCTCCCGTGTCTCTCTCCAGCCCAGTCGTGCACTGGTGGGGTCTCTTGGCCTGGCCTGCACCTTCTCGCAATCCAGGACTCCTCAGGGGATGTCGGAGAACCGGTTTCAGCCCAATCCCGCAGGCCAGACAGAGGGATCCCACTGGTGTACAAATTGGTGCACTGAGCCTCTAGTATCTTTATAAACCCTTAAAAAGAATAGCCTTTCACTTCAAATTTTTAATTTGATCAAGTCTGTTACTTGTTTTATCAAAACTCCATTACAATCTAATCACCTTATAACATAGGTGATTACATTTAGCTTGTTATAAGGGATTTTATCTTCTATTTATACTTCACTGTCTCCGTTTACTTTTGTTGTGATTATTGGCTGTAAAATTTAGATCTTGATTGAGGAAATGGTTAGTTAGTTTTATGTATTATACAACAAGTAGTACATCAGTCTATATGAAAATGTATTCTTAATGACCTGTCACAATGTCTAAAATAAAATTGAGTCAGAGCTAAGGACTATACATGTTGTTTTAGGGCTGATATTCTAGCATAATTCTAATAGAATATTTAATTTTAGATTTGAGAATATGTCCTAGAGTATTGTGGCTACTAGGACAGACTTTTTTTTTTTATAATATATTTTTATTGTGTTTGGAGAGAGGGAAGAGGGAGGAGGAGAAGGAGGGAGGGAGGGAGGGAGAGAGAGAGAGAGAGAGAGAGAGAGAGAGAGAGAGAGAGAGAGGTATCAATTGATTGGCTGCCTCCTGCAGGCCCCACACTGGGAATCAAAACCAGGACATGTGCCCTGACTGGGAATAGAACCAACAACCTCTTGGTGCATGAGGACATTGCTCAACCAACTGAGCCATACTGTCTGGCCTAGGACAGTCTTTTGTTTCTGTGTTTATAAGTCCTAAAACTGCTGAATATGTTTGAATTATCTTTAACTTTTGGTTAGGGTTCTTATAACCTATTAGTCTCACTAAATGGTTATAATTTCCTTTATATGTATTCTGCATCTTTACCATATATTTGGAAGGAAAGTGTAAAAATGTAGCAAGGAGAAATATCCAATTGCCTGTCAAGGAGAAAAGGAGGGCTAATTGGTGCCTTTCTCTACTCTTTTCCCTGTCTCCTACATAATTGTGATTTAGACTTCAGCAGCTGCCTTGTTGCCCAATTTCCCGAAGGTCAGTTCACTAGACACTTAAAGAAAATTTTAATTTCTTTTTTCTCCATCACTTACAAATCACTTATCTATAAGAAAATAAATATATATTTTTTATATTACATATATACTCTCACATGTATACTAAACATTAGGGTTTATTAGTTTTAATAAGATTTTAAGAATCAGAAAAACATAAAACCTTAAATTTGGATAAAATAATTCTTTTTACTTTTATCTTCCATTTCTATTCATTTAGAATGTATTATGATAATCACTGTGAGGTTTACATGCACTCCTAGTCACTATGGAGAATGTAAAGACAAAGATTAAGATCATGATACTTTTCATCTAAGATCTTACAATCTCAGGGGAATGATAAGACATATATATGCACACAAACTGTCTTATAAAGCAGGATTTGATTGTGATAGATAAAAATGAATTCTGAAAAAATTTTATTAGCTGGAGATTTTTTTTCAATTTCCTTGCAAAGTCTTTCCAGCAAAAAAAGGTTCATTTGTACAAGTTCTGAGAGAGGAAATTAGTAATGAAGGTGATGGGAAAAGGTATTTCAGTTTAAGGAAATAGTATGAATCATAAAACAGCTTATTTTAGGAGCAACAAATTGATCAATTTGGCCAAAGTAGTAGTTTCCTTTGATGAAATGCTAAAAGTCAACCTGGGGTGACCAGAATATAATGGTCTAAAAATACAAGCTATGTTGTATGTCATAGGGAGCCATTGAAAGAAATGTCATACCAATATAATCTTAGGAAAATCCTGTCAATTTTAAAGGGGATCCATCCAAAAAGAGAATAGTTATAGAGCACAGTTAGGAGGTTACTGTGATATGGTGGTTTTACATGACAAAGAGCTGATATTGGTTTTACCAAATTGCAGAGAATGGAAAGAATGTGGGGGTGAGATTTCAAGTGAGTGAGGATGGATGGTACAGGGCAGGCAGTTTTGAATAAGACATTATGCCCTTGAAGACATGACATTCTAGTCAGCGAGAGACATATTCAGAACCTGATTACAACACACAGTATGAAAAGTGTTAATTGAGTACATACATAAGACAGTGACTGACTGGTTCTAAACAGGGCATACGTTGCAAAGAAAGTTCCTCAAAGGAGATGACACACCTAGGAATTTGAGTAGGAAAGGAGGGTCTTCTAGGCAGTAGGAAACATACAAAAAGTTATGAATGGGCTTAGAATTGTGGGTAGTTCAATATAACTAAGGTTTATGGTAATCTACAGGAGCGGTATGATACTTCATGATTTATTGAATTGAGACCTTGAGGAGAAGTGAAATTCACAGATCAGGCAGACTTTGAGCCAGGAGAACTAAGAAGTTGGAAGGAGAAGAAACTAATTGGATGGGCTGGTGATTAATTTGATTTTGATCTCCTCTTTCCCTTCCACTAATAATTTAGTAAGTATATATTAAGCACTTACCATGTGCAAGGCACTGACCGAGCCACTGGGAAAGCAGTGGTGAACAAAACAAAGCTAGTGCTCATGGAGCTTTCATTCTAGTGTGGGAGACAGAACACACCCAAAATAATCAAATGTCACGTATAATATCAAGTAGAAATGTTTCTAGACTATATAATAAAAGGATAATGTGCCAATTGTCCCCTTTAAAGTTTGCCCCAGATAACAGATCAATTGCTTACTATGACATGCGCCGACCACCAGGGGGTGGCATGGAATATGGCCGGTGACTAGCTGCAGAGCACTGAGGGAATGAGGGAAGGAGTAGGAGGGGAGGCTGGGAGGAGGGGAACCTGATGTGCCCTGATTGCCTGCCAGGCCTAAGGACTCTACCCATGAACAGATAGGGTCCCTAGACCTGGCAGGTGATCAGAACCCATGGGGCCTTCCCCCTGCTGCCAGCTGCCAGCTAGGGCCTTCCTTCATTCTGCGCTGCCCCTGGTGGTCAGCACACGTCATAGAGAGGAGTCAAACACCCAAGGGAACAATTTGCAATTAGCCTTTTATTATATGGGATTATAGAAAACCTTTGGCGGGTTTGTAAGAGACCTGATTTTTGTTTTAAAAAGATCACTGGCTACAATGTGGGGAATAAACTATGAGGGTGAAAATTGGAAAGGGAGACTTTTAGACCAATCAAGAGAGGATAATAATGTCACCCAGCTGCCAGGGGTGGAGATGAGAAAGTGAGTGGCTGTTGGGGCTATTTGACGGGTAAGCCAATAGGATTTAATACATTTTAGGCATTGTATAATGATGAATGTGCTGTATTTTTTTTTAAATCAGAGAAGCAAATAGATATCTGGATATAGATATGTATTTACCTTTTTCAGGTTTGATTACTCAGGAATTGGAAAATCAGAAGGGAACTTCGAAGAGTGTACATTGGGAAAATGGAGAAAAGATGTTCTTTCTATAATTGATGACTTAGCTGAAGGACCACAGGTGACTATTTTTGTTAAATGTGATATCATTATTGATGATACCCTCATGATATTCGAGCTGTTTCTTTGATGTCAAAATTTATTTAAACTTTAACAATCAATTTTGATATTTGATTTAAAATTAATAAAATGTGCCATTTTACCTATTTTATTTTCATAATTCTCTATTGTAGACCAAATACTTTTTTAACAAAAAGTAATCATAATTTTAATTCTACCTTGTGTCAGATATTAAAAGTCTGAGAGCCAAAGGATATAAAAGAAAAAAGTGTGTACATTCTATTAAGTTACTATCTTTATAGAAAAGAAAAATAAATTGCTCTTTAAAATTGCACATATTTTTATTTTTAGATACTAGTTGGATCTAGCCTCGGCGGATGGCTTATGTTTCATGCTGCAATAGCACGGCCACAAAAAGTTGTGGCGCTTGTTGGTGTAGCTGCAGCTGTAGATGTCCTAGTGACAAAGTTTAATCAGCTTCCTGTTGAGGTACGTCACAGGCATGCCTCCTATCATCCTTCTGCTCCCTCTTTCTTTAAATATTTGTTTATGTGTCACCATTCCTTTGATTGACTACATTAGGCCATCTTTTTTCTTAGCTACTTATTTATTTATTTTTATTTTTATTCAATTATTTTTTATTATTATTTTTTAAATAAATCTTTATTGTTCAGATTATTACAAATGTTCCTCTTTTTTTTTCCCCCCTCCATTGCTCCCATCCACCAGGTTCCCACCCTCCCTCGGCCATTTCCCCACCCCCCCATTGTCCTCATCCATGGGTGCAGTTTTTGTTCAGTCTCTTTCTTTTCCCCGAGAATCGTCATTTTACTCCTCTTCCATACCTCTGATTCTATTATATTCACCAGTTAATATTGTTCATCAGATTTTTTTAATTCCTTTGGTTTTTAAATTCACTTAACTGCTTTTTTAAATAACATCTCTTTGCTTTCTTTACTATTTTGTCTCTTGTTTAAGGTTTCCTTTTCTTCAGTCCCTTCAACTCATTCTGGCAAATGTTTGAGCCATATTAATGAAACAACACTTTAATTTTTTTTTAAGCAACATTTTCTTTATTAATTGCATTTACTTATTTAGATCATACACCATGATCACTTCTTGTCCTCTTACTTTCTGGCCTGGGAGAAATAGTACCTATTCTTATGACCACATTAAACTTGACTAATTATGACATATTTTTTTTTAGCCTGAAAGCAGCCTCAGCAGAGCTCTCCAAGAATTAGCTCACCGGAGATGAGATTGCGAGTTCTGGCTTAGATATTTAGTTGACATTCTTTTTTTTACTCCTACCTCTCATCTTAAAAGAGAATACTTTTTCATTATTAGCATGTTCCTTAGCAAAATGTGGTAGAATGAGCTTTCTAAAATAACTGGGAAGTTAATTAGTTTATTATATTTTATTATTGGACATATATTTAAGCACTTCAATTGTCTGCAAGGGTAAAGAAATAGTGGGTAATAGTTATTTATTTTTGTATATGTCGTTTATTTATTACAATCTGTTGAGTTTTCCTAAGGATATAAATTTTACTTGTGGGACTAAGATCCTGGCAGGCCTGTGGCCCAGAAAGTTAGAGAAAGGAAAACAGTCTAGAACAGTGGCTCAAAAAGTGTAGTAGTTCCTAGGCCAGCAGCCTGAGCACTGAGAACTTGTTAAAAAGGCTTATTCTTATGTTTCTTTTCCTTTTTCATTTGACTTATTTCACTTAACATGATACTCTCAAAATTCAGATGTTGTTGCAAATGGCAGTATTTTTATTTTTTTTTATGGCTGAGTAGAATTCCATTACAAAAATATACCACATCTTCTTGATCTATTGAAGGACGCTTTGTTTGTTTCTGTATCTTGGCTCCTGGGAATAGTGCTGTGGTGAACAGTGAACATAGAAGTGCCATGTAATTTCACTCATATGTGGAATATAAAACAGAAAGCAACAAAGTAAATAAACTCATAGACACAGACAAACAGTATGGCAGTTACCAGAGGAAAGGGGGAGGGGCAAAAAGGGTAAAGGAAGACAAACATGGTGAATGAGACTAGACTTTTGGGGGATGAGCATACAGGTGATCTATCACATAATTGTACACTTGGAACTTATATAATGTATAACCAATGTCACTGCATTAAATTTAATTCAATTAAAAAAATCAAAAAGCATATTCTTGAGCTTCACCCGAGACCTACTAAATCAGAAACTGGAAGTGTTGCCTGATAAGCTGTTTTAACAAGTCTTTCAGGTGAAATTTGAGAACCCTGCTTTAGAGAGTGAAAGAGCAGAAGGAAAAAGAAAAAGAAAAATAAGAAAAAAATAACATTATTTTTAAAAAGTTGGTGAAACTCTTAGTAATTTATAATTTTAAGTAAACGGGAAATATACTAAGGAAAGATAATTTTTTTTATTTTTTTTTTTTAATCAAGATGTGTCCCTCCATGCTGGGTGTGACTCAGTGGTTAGTATGTAGTGTTAAATGATAGTATGTCATTGGTTTTTGTCTCAAGTTCTACATTGAACCCAGTGCCATGTATTATCTGTTCTAAGTTTATTCTTATACTGTTCTTCCCATCTCCTTAAGAAATGGCATTGATTGCAGTCAGGTTCTTTGTGATTTCCCTATCAGGGCTAAAATTGTGAGGCCAGTTTTCCTTGCACATATCTCCTGTTTCTGAGTTTTTCACTTTCTTGGTTATTTCTCATACATAATTCCTCATGCTGCTAAATCTTACTACCATTGCATCTTTCTGCATCTAAACCTTGGAGCCTTTTGATTGGATCCTCTAGGTGGCTAATATAGTGCTGTTCATGGTAAGAAATTATTTCAAGAACGTGGCAGACTGGAAAGGAGTTCATTTAACAGGGTGGTTTCTTTTGTTTGTTATTGACAAATGGCAAGATCTAAGTATATACATTTCTATTTGTGTGTGTATGTTCACATCACTCAAAGGGAGGATTATGGTATACGGTAATACCCCCGAGTGACTGAGAAGATCTATATTCTGCCAATCAGAGCACATGTTTGCTAATTCTAAATCAAACCAGGAAACAATTGTTTACAGAAACATGTTGAGCCCTTGTTAACATAAAAACATGTGTAAGGAAAGAGTAGGGACACTATTTAATTTTCTCCACAACCATCTAGCCATAACAGTGTCCAAGGAGCAAAAGTGGGAGTGTTAGTACTTTTTCTAGCTTTGAGATGTTAAAACTCAGCATTTCTCATTGTGTAGGGCAGCGTTTTGTGTGCCGCGAGATGTTGCCTGGTGTGCTGTAGGTGCAGACAAGACAAGAATTTTATAATTTTTCACTATTTTGTTTACTTAATATTTCATAATAAAGTAATTATAAAATACTTTCTTTGTGTTTATTTGATTCCTATTCAAGAGAATTACTTTATATATAGTCAATATAGGCACAGAGTTAAATTTTTTAACATTTTCTAATGGTGGTGTGCCTCGTGATTTTTTTCATGAAACAAGTGTGCCTTTGCCCAAAAAAGGTTGAAAAACACTGGTGTAGGGACTTGTACCTCTTAACTGACGCTAATCATTGTCCCCTACTTTGGACACCAGAGGGCGTCAGGTAGGATGTACAGCTGTTTGGAAACCAAGCTTTTCAACCACATTGCCTGGGTACTGTTTCTTGGTGTAGAACTTATGTATATTGCACATTTTCTTTGGTTAATACTATTTTTGCTATTTCTGAACTTTTTTTTTTTTTTTTTTTGAGGATTCAGGACATAAAACATTCTGTGAAGTTTTTTCTTCAGATGAACAATATTCATTCAATTCAGTGTCAGATAACAGCTATTTGAGTAGGGATGTTAAAATGCAACCATTATTATATCTCAATAATTAGCATAGTTTTAACCTCATTTAATAACCAGTGAAATTAACTTCTAATTATTGAAATTACAAATTCAGGAACAATCTGGAATACTTTGAAGATAACTGAGTATCATTTTTGCTTTAAATATTTGGTTCACATGTTTTTTAATGCAGAAAACCCCATGGTAATAATATAGACTCATACTTTTTTTTTTTAATTTTATTGATTTCAAATTATTTGAGACATTTAGAAGTATAGCTTTCAGACGTACAGCTATTTTACTGAAATCAGTGGATTTTAACCACTCAATTTCATGGAATCAAATCTTTCTGGTATTAAAAAAAGACATTAGCCGAAACCAGTTTGGCTCAGTGGTAGAGCGTCGGTCTGCAGACTGAAAGGTAGGTCCCGGGTTCGATTCCAGTCAAGGGCATGTACCTTGGTTGCGGGCACATCCCCAGTAGGGGGTGTGCAAGAGGCAGCTGTCGATGTTTCTCTCTCATCGACGTTTCTAGCTCTCTATCTCTCTCCCTTCCTCTCTGTAAAAAGATCAATAAAATATTTTTTAAAGACATTAAAATACCTAAAAATATATATAATATTGTACATATTTTTTCTATTTCAATTCTTAGATTATTTAATACTATTGCATATGTTAGTATTTCATAAATACTTTTATTTTCCTAATTTTTTTTTCCAATAGGTACAAAAGGAAATAGAGTTGAAAGGCGTGTGGAGCATACCATCCAAATACAGTGAAGAAGGAGTTTATCACATTCAGCATAGTTTCATTCAAGAAGCTAAACACCACTGCTTATTACATAGCCCTATTCCTGTGAACTGCCCTGTAAGATTGCTCCATTGCATGGAGGATGACGTTGTACCTTGGCACACGTCCGTACAGGTTGCTGACCGAGTAGTCAGCACAAATGTAGATGTTATCCTTCGGAAACATGGTGATCACCGAATGAAAGAAAAAGCGGACATTCATCTTCTTGTTTGCACTATTGATGACTTAATTGATAGACTTTCAACTGTAGTTACCTAAAATCACATTTGTAATGGGTATGTAAACTAGTGGATCCAGAAGATTGAGAGAGGGATAACAAATGGAAGATCCTGATATTGGTTTTTTTTCCTGAGGTTTTGTTTAATGATGTCTTTGCACTTAAGTGATACAAATTTTAAAGAAAGTACAGTTGTCCCTCTGTACCCTCCACCTCTGGGATACCAGATTCTGAGGGTGCTCAAGTTCATTATAGAAACAGGGCATAGTATTCTAACCTATGCACATCCTCCTGTGCACTTTAAATCAGCTCTAGATTGTTTGTAGCACCTAATCCAATGCAAATGCTGTATAAATACTTGTCATACTGTATTGTTTTAGGGATCAACCTTCTGGAGTTTTTCGTTAAGTATTTTTGACCCGTGGTTGGTTAAATCCAGAGATACCAAACCTGCAGAATCAGAGGGCAGAATATAGTAGCTGCTAGAAAATTGGAAATTTTTCTTCCTTCAGTCCCTGATTTCTTTTTTCATTATTATATTTCCTATATTTTTATTCAGGATGTTTAACTTCTAATACTTTTGTTAACTGTGTCAGCTTTTAGTTGTGTTCTGGTCTCCTTAGAATTATTAATAAAGCTTAAAATTTTCGTATTTTGTTTGGTATCATTGTATATGGATATTTGTAAAATTCTGATTTTAAAATGAATTCACAAAATATAGGGAAAAAGCCTAAAATGATTAGAGAAATGTCTGAAGCATAATAAAGACTACTTTTTAAGTTCAAAAATAAGTTCAAAAAGGAAGACTACTTTATATTCTGCGTGGTATATTTGAACTTAAAATTAAGGCTACCTTTTTTAAAGGCTCAAAGCTACAGTGATATACAGGGGATATATCATTTCTAAGATTTGGCCTATATGTAATATATTTAAATGGGGAAATTTTAATATACTTCATATTCTAAAGAGAGAATTGATCATTACATAGTATTGCCTACCTGCAGAAACATTTCTTTATTATTAATATGTGCCTTATGTTTCAATAGGCAAGTGCTTGCCATCTAAGAGGACTTTTGGAAGTGTAAATATATTAAGAAAATAGGAAATACAGATAAAAGTTTTTTTATGGATTTTTTTTAAATAACTGCAGTAGTCAGTCTTAATACTATTGAGTTGGTGTATTTTAGATTTTAGGTTTGGTTGGACGTTAGCTTACTAGAGTTGTGTCTGTCAAAGTAAAACAAAATTGACAACATAAAGAATGCTGGGATAAAATTGTTGTGTCAAAAAGAGTTAACATAGCAGCAGCCTGAAAACTTATCCTCAGAGGCCTGCTCACCAAATTGGCCCTTGGCTGGCATCTGGGAACTTGAATTTTAGGAGGGTTCCCAGGACTGACAAAAGTGGCTCACTGCATATACTGTCTGCAAACAATGTGATTTGTGCTGAACACCTGATTGCCTTCTGGGAGTCTGGAATTTTGTCTGGAAAAGGTGCCAGGCAGAGACTGCCTGAGTGGCCAGCTCCTAGTAAAAACTCTGGGCTGTCACAACATGGCTGGGATTAAGTTCATCCGGTGTGACTCCACTGGGGGAGAATTCTTTGATGCTTCAAACCTAGGTTTTCCAGATTTCACCTCAGGTTCCTTTTTTCTTTGCAGATTTTTTGCTTTGTATCTTTTCGCTCTCATGAGTTGTGGCTGTGAGTACACCTGGAAGTGGTCTTTGGGAAGCCTGACACAGATATGAAACTGGTTAATGTCCTACAAGGCAATGAAACTACAGTCTGAGTTATCTTTTATACCAAACAAAAATCACAAATAAATACGAGAATTGTGTGTGCCACAGTGCCTGGTGCTAGAAGCAGTTGATAGTGGATGGCAGGAGAGCTGTTCGGTCACTGCCAGGCACAAGGATTACAAAGATGAGGAGGAAAGGGCCCAGCCCATGGGAGTTTTCTAGGGTTAAACATAATGACAATAAAATGTAATAAATATGATTATAGAGTCATAGTACATCTATAGAGGAAGAATGGTATGTACAAGGTTACTGACAGACTATAGAGTAGACTTAAATCCTGGCCCACCATTTACTAGCCCTGTGATACAATATACTTACCCTCCCTGAGGTTTTCTAATCTGTAAAATGGCAATATAAACCTAGATGATAAAGTGTAGGAGTTAAGTATAGCACAAATAGAAACATAGGAGTCACTCACTACCTTTTCTCTTTTAGTATGCACAGAGCACAGTCATAAGAGAAATGGATGAATGCAATCATTGGGGCATTTAGGAAGAAAAGTAGACGCAAAGTAGTAGTTATCCTATACTAACTTCCTGTTGTGATCTGGAGCATGTGTGGTGTGGTATCCTTTCAAATGTTCAATGGTTAAAGAAAGGGTGAGGGAAAAATAAAGATAGAAACAATTTTAAATTTTAATCTAGCTTTGCAGAAGGTAACATCAAAAATTCAATAGGAGTTTGAATCAGTGGAATTTAGTGTATTCTGGTAAATTATTAATTTCTTCAATGTTCCTTTTTTATTTTTCCCAAAGCTCTTCTCCCCGCTTCCCCCACCTAAAACCACTCTATGCCGTATATTCAGTGACATGGAAAATGCTCCAACAACCAGCAGCCCTGAGTGCCTTATGCTATTGATCTCCCAAGTTATTCAAAAAGTGACGTGACCCCTCTAAATAACCTCAGCATTCAATGGGAAGGAAGGCTCAGCGAGGCCACATGATACACTGTACTTGCTTCTGCTGCATCTGCTAAGCTCAGAGGCACTTCCAGCCAAATCTAAACAGTGTGCTGTGCTCTGAGGAACCAGCAGAAAGGCTTGTGCAGAGAAGAGGAAAAGGGCGTTGGGCAGGGCTGAGTTTTATAAAGGAGATAGAAAGCAAGAAGAACATTACCCACCACATAGCCATTTCCAGGGCAGCGCCCAAAAGGAATATGTCACACGATTTACTAAAGAACTGTATTTTCTGGGGGAAGATGGGTAGAATTATGTACATTTTAAGATCCCCTCTACATACAAATCTAAAGTAACTTTTTTAGTTTAGAACATACTCATATATGCATAACTTGGTTCAAGGGGAAAATGATGATTTGCTGTTTAGAGAATATATCTAGAAAAAGGCAGGCAGGTTTTTTTTAAACCAAATGAATCTTCAGAGGAGATGATTCTCATTTGGACTCTCTCTTGTCTTGGGTTTCCAGGGTTTTGATGACAGATCAAAGGAGCTCCTCATTTCTCTCTCCTCTCTCAAACTTGACTGGGTCAAGCTTGCCACTGGGTCTTCTGTGCTCTCTCATGAAAAGCAAGCACTCTCCTCATGTCCTTTGATAGAACTTACTCCTTTGAGATGCTCAGTTTATATGCCAGCCTCCCTCTCTCAAAGGACCATTGAGGTCAGAGGCGTTGCCATTGTTTATCCCCAGGTGTCTCTGACCCATGCTACATTAACCCATTTTACTGACTCTCCTCCTTACCCACCTTGTAATGTTAATATGTCCTTTTCATTCTGACCTTGATACTTACTTATGTACCTTGAGCAACCATACCTATGCTCTGGGTTTTAAGTTCTACCTGCATACAGATGATTCAAGTACACTCCTCCATTCTCCTGAGCTCCAAATACATAAAACTTAATGGACTGGGATGAACCATGTACCTCCCAAATGCAATGAGTACACACCTTATTATCCTCACCCTTTAGATGCCTCCCTACCTATGAGTCCATGTACAATAAGTATCCCTGTCAAACTTCTTAGTCATCTGACCCTCTCCCTTTCTCTCATCCAAATCAGAACTGATGGTTCTCTCTCACTATGAAAACACGCATACACACTTCTTTTGCATGATATGTAAGTTTAAATTTCCAGGGCGTTCGAGGTGGGGGGCACCTTGATTCATAGAATTTACCAACATCTATGGCATAAATACTCTTGGCTGCTTTCATGCTGCCACTGTGATGTCACTGAATATGAGGAAGCTGGAAAGAAGTGGCCAGTATGACATTGTTATGTAGATTACATACTAGCTAGATGAAAAATGAGCCACATACTAAATGTGATAAGCTCAGGGGAGCCTGCATGGTGAGTCTTACAAACTCAGAGACAGGGTTGTCTGAACATAACAATTCCTAACTAAAAGTGGGTCATGAGGGCTACCTGGGCCTGTAGCTTTTTTGATAAAGGTCAATATTTACCTTTGAAATTGTCTTTGTGCATTAGAGATAACATACCTTTGAAATAGCAGAGGACTATTCATTTCCAGACCCAGATTTCCCCACTTTGCTTTCTCCCATCTTTCTCATCTACCTCCATGAATTTTATGTAACCTTCCCTGGTTCCTCCCTGGATGTTAAAATATATATATATATATATATATATATATATATATATATATATATATATATATATATATATGACTAAGTGACTGATCATACTTCCATGTGACCATCTGACTGACAATTTATATATATAAAAGGCTAATATGCTGAGTGTCCATCAGGGCAATGACATCACATAGCAATGCCAGCTTCCTCTCCCTAGAAACTAATCTTGCAGTTTCTTTAGCCCAGTAACACTACTTGCTTTATAGCCAGGTGGAAACATTTTACATTAAACAAATGTCTGTGCCTCATCTCATTTGATTTTCACAGAAGTCCTGAAGTAGATACATAGGAGACTCAGTGGAATCCTATTTTCTTCTCATTAGCCAGAAAACAAAGATTTAGGAAGCTTAGAAATTTGACCTGCTGAAAAGTAAGAAATGGTGGACCTTGAAAATGATGTCAGGTTTTCTCTCTGCATAGAATATAGTCAAACACAGCTGCAGTTAAATATTTTACCCTTTTTTTTTTTCCCTCCCTGTGTGCCCTTTAATAATAATCTGCTTTGTATTGATATTTGCTGTGTTGCTAACAATTACCTGAAAGAGAAGTTGAGGTGCTTCACTGGGCTGGAAAAAGTTTAGCTAAATCAGAAAACAAGTCTAATTAAGCAAGTTTATTATCTGATCTAATAAAAGAGAAACATGCAAATTGACCATCACTTTGCTATGCCCACCAGCCAATCAGAGCAAGTAGGCAAATTAACAAACTAAGATGGTAGCAGCCACGGAGCTGGAGCAAGCAGGAGGCTTGGATTGCCCCTGGTGAAGGAGGAAGCCAAGCTTTCCACCTGCCTTGGCCAGCCCTGGCCTCAAGGCTACAAAGTTTCAATTATAGAAGATAAATAAATCCCAGATGCCTTCTTCCAGCTGGCCCTCGCCTATGCTTGGGTCTCCAGGGATCATGGTCGGCCTGCACACCACCACAGGCCCCTCTCCCAGGCTGCCCTGTGCCCCAAGGGAATCCCCACCCTGATCTAAGACACACTTCAGGGCAAACCAGCCAGCCCCCACCAGTGCACCAGGCCTCTATCCTATCTAATAAAAAAGTAATATGCAAATGGACTGTCACTCCAACACACAAGATGGCTGCCCCCATATGGTCTAAGATGGCTTTGCTCGTGTGGACACAAGATGGCCATCACAAGATGGCCAGCAGGAGAAGGTAGTTGGAAGGGACCAAGCCTGTAAGGGAGGGCAGTTGGGGCGATCAAGCCTGCAGGAAAGGGCAGTTAAGGTGACCAGGCCTGCAGAGGAGGGTTGTAAGGGGCAACAGGGCCTGCAGAAAAGAGTAGCTGGGGAGGACCCAGCCCTGCAGGGGAGGGCAGTTAGGGGTGACCAGGCTGGCAGAGGAGGGAAGTTGGGGGTAA